TTTTTTTTTTTTTTTTTTTTTTTTTCAAGATCCTAAATTTTTTGTCTCGGGTGTCGATTTTTCCTAAACTGTTTGCTTTTCCTCCTAGTGGCAGATGAGCAGCGAGGGACTGCAAGGAACTGGGGATTCAACAGCAATAGCTCTCAAAATGTGGCCCTGGGACCAGCAGCATCACCTGGGTACGCTCGGGCCTCATCCCCGACCTAGGGAATTAGAAACTTGAGGGTGGAGTACAAAAATCTGTTTTCATATACCCTTCCTATCGCTTGAGTCCAGGAGTTGGAAGCTGCAGTGAGCTATGATCGCGTCACTGCACTCCAGCCTAGGCAACGTTCGAGAACCTGTCTCAAAAAACAAACAAAATCACACACACACACACACACACACACACACACACCTCCAGGTGATTACGATCTCAAGTTCTAGAGGCTTACATTAAAATTCACACGTTTGCTTCTACTATTTCCAAGTTTTTGTTTCACCCTGAGCTCTTCTTGTAAGATACTTTATAAAACAGACCACTAGTTACCCCAGATGGAGGAATGTGTAAAGACACCGGGGTCGGAGCTGGAATCTTTCCTGGGACCTTTCACCTTGACCTCGGGGAAGGCAGGAGGTCGGGGCAACGCGTGGGCAGGCCCGGGAAAGAGGAAACCCGCAGGACAAGGGGGTTGTGGCTCATCACGTGGCCACTTGAGGGCAGCAAGGAGCCGCAGCTGGAGGCGGCTGCCTATCTGATCCTGTTTGAGAGTCCGCCAAATTGGGATTTAAATTAGACGTCAAGACGAACTTACAGACCGGCCTTGCCTTGTTCCATGGTAAGGGGATTTTAAGTTTAGGGCTGGAGGAGGTCGTCCCTGGGACTCTGGGTTCGGCGGAAGGAGGAACCGGCGTTCTAGGAGATTAGAGAGCCTTCGTTTCCTTTCTTAGGTCTTTTTTTTGACCTCAGTGCCACGGAATCCGCCTCTTCCAGCCCCACAGATCCCTCGTGTCCCCAGCCATATCCATCCTCCCGGGGAATATCTCCAACGGCGCTCAGCGTTCGCGCCTCCTTCTCCGCGGTTTTCTAGTCCCTAGGCCCCAGCCCACTAGAAGCCAGGGTGCCCCCTCACCCCGTCTCTCACTCCATCCAGCGCCCCAGCTCCTTGCAGTCACAGGAACGAATTAGGTCAGGGGAGGGAAGAGGTGCCTCCGTGTCCTGACCTGATTCCTTGCCGTCTATTAAATTTACATTGCGGGTATTTTTATTCTGTCCTGGAAGGGAAAAAAAAAAAAAAAAAAGGTGATCTCTCCCCAGAGCCCGTTAGAAGGTGGCGGCAAGTGGGGTGAGCCGTTTCCCGGCCTGGGGCTTGCTTTGAAAATTGATTGGGTCTGGCCCTGAGCAAGCCTGGCCCCAGAGAGGCGGGCGGCCTGGGCTACCTACTCGTGGGGAGGGGTCCAGGCTGCTGCAGAGTAGCGGTTAGCCAGGGCCCCTGCACCCTCATGTCTGCTAGGCTGGGGGACAAAACGGTGCTGGAAATGGGGGGTAGAGGGATGAGGTGGAGTCATGGGAGGGGGATGGGATTCGGGCCCCTCTTGGGGAGAGAAGCTAGGGGTTTTTGCTGGAGGGGGAGATTCCCGGGGGTGGGGACTGCAGGACAAAGCATCAGAGAGGCACAGAATTCCAAAGAACAAAGTCTCAGAGCTTGAAGGCGCTGGGGGCAGGGGACAGGCAGGGGCCCGTGGCCCAGGGAGGAGGCGCCTGTCCCTTCCTAGGGTCCAGTCCCTCGGGCCTTCTCTCTGCAGCTTTCCCCGGCGGAACAGAGCAGGAAAAGGGAGCCAGGAGCTCAATACGGCGCCCAGGGCAGCTGACGCTTCTAGGGGTTCTCCCAGCCCGAGGGGCTCCCTCCCTGTCCCCTACTCTGCGCCCCTCGCCTTAGGAGCGGCTGCGGGAGCTCTCGGGGAGCGCTCTGTGAGAGCTGAGGGCAGGCGCTGGGAGAGCCCCCCACGACGCCGCGCCCCCCGCCCCGCCCCCTGCCCCAGCTCCCCTCCCCGGACCTAGCCGCCCCCCCCAGCTCCCCGCCTGCTCCCGGAGGCCGCAGCCTCCCGCTCCGCTCGCGCTCTCGCCTCTCCCGCCTGCTCGCCCTGCCCCGCGCTCCGCCGCCTCCTCGCCGCCCGCCCCTCAGCCAGCCCCGGGGACCGCGCGGCAGGACCCGGAGCCGGGGTCCCCTCCCTCATCAGGGCTGGGGTAGCGAGCAGGCCGGGGGCAGGTCCGGGCACCCACCATGCGGGGCGAGCTCTGGCTCCTGATGCTGGTGCTCAGGGAGGCTGCCCGGGCGCTGAGCCCCGAGCCCGGAGCAGGTAGGACTGGCCGGAGTCGGCCCGGGTGGGCCGGGAGTGGGGAGGGGGCGGGAAGGCAGGTGTGGGCATGGGCAGGTGTGGACGGCCTGGCGATGTCCGCGAGTGGAGTATTGTCCGCAGGAGGCCGGGAGCACTGGGGGCTGCGGGCAGGTGGATGGACAGGGACCCCACCTTCCCAAACACACGGGGTGTGTGACAGTGGAAACACCGAAGCCTGGACCTCTTCTTCCCTCCTGGAAGGATACTGGTGGGACCTTGCGGGGGTGGCGGGTGGCGGGGGGACTCAATGTGGCCATGGGCTCTGAAAGGGGAGTTGTTGGGATCCCTGATCACCCAGGCAAGGCTGGATTCTGAAGAGATGGGAGCC